TAACATAATTTACACTTTAAACAAGTAATGATGAACCTAAAAATAAGAACAACAGGGTTACATAACATAATTTACACTTTAAACAAGTAATGATGAACCTAAAAATAAGAACAACAGAATATGAATGTTATTTTTCTCTGTACTGTTTTCCATTTATTTTCAGCACATGACAAATTTAAATTATGTTTGTAATACTTCTTGCACGGTGTTTGGACATGCAAGTGGAATAAAAACAGTCACAACCTTTGCGAGACTTTATTATTCATACTTCAAAGTTTTTTTACAGCTTGAGATTCTGTCTTGATGTAACTGATGACTTGTTTTTTTTGGTGAGAATTTTAGACTTGACAAACTTCAGAATTATGTTTTTTCCCACCAGTGTTTAGTAATCACCTACATTCTTCAGCTGGTGTGGATGTTAATCTTGGCATCTTTGGTGGTTATCACTTTTGTTTTCCTGGTTAGCTGGGGACTGTGTAACCATGTGGAGGTTACTGATGCTCATAAACAATGCATTGATTTCAGTCACTATGGTAAGGGTGCAATTTTCACTATCTTTACTTTGTAGTTTCTGCACTTCCACGAATATCAGATTTGGTCCAGGGACCAAAATTTTATCTAACTTGTTAAATGCATGTGTAATTTTACATTACCAGATGATACTCAAATGTATGGTTTGTAATTTTATAACTTTTGTAAATAGAATATAATAATTACACTTGTGTTTGATAGTGTAAGACTTTCATGTAGTTACAGCTTGTAATCTTACATTTTTCCCCAGCACAAAAGGACCCAGATTATATTCCTGTAATCGTAATGTTATGCTGTGGTTTGACTACAGATAAAAAGTAATTTTAAAGAATGATATTTCCATAAAGCTTTTATATATATTATACACACTGCTTGTATTCCTCTCCTTAAATTCGTTATTTTTTTTATCCAGATTTCATGTTTCCACAAGGTACGAGATACGAAGACTTGAACCTTTGCTCTGAGGGTAAAATAAAGCAGTTTTGTAAAGATTATGTAAGTATTCTTGTCTATACAGATACAAAGACTTGAACCTTTGCTCCGAGGGTAAAATAAAGCAGTTTTGTAAAGATTATGTAAGTATTCTTGTCTATACAGATATGAAGACTTGAACCTTTGCTCTGAGGGTAAAATAAAGCAGTTTTGTAAAGATTATGTAAGTATTCTTGTCCATACAGATACGAAGACTTGAACCTTTGCTCTGAGGGTAAAATAAAGCAGTTTTGTAAAGATTATGTAAGTATTCTTGTCTATACAGATATGAAGACTTGAACCTTTGCTCTGAGGGTAAAATAAAGCAGTTTTGTAAAGATTATGTAAGTATTCTTGTCTATACAGATACGAAGACTTGAACCTTTGCTCTGAGGGTAAAATAAAGCAGTTTTGTAAAGATTATGTAAGTCTTCTTGTCTATACAGATATGAAGACTTGAACCTATGCTCTGAGGGTGGAATAAATCTTTTTCTGTATAGATTCTGTGAGTGATGTATATTGTAAGTCTTTTTGTCTGTAGTGATTCATTCTGTAAGTCCTCTTATCTGTAGTGATTTTATAAGTACCATATATAAACAAATATATATTTGTTGTCTGAAAGATTATTGAAGTATAACTTTTTGCAAAGATTAGGAAACAAAAATTAATTAAACATTCGCTTGGTTTAATTTTTTGAGACCACCATAATTTGAGTAAAGGTTTCTTTCCTTGTGTGTTCAACATGTATGTTGTATTTTAATGTTTTTTTATTCACAATATTCCACTCTATATTTAGGGTGTAAACTGTTTTTGTTTTTCATGGCTGTTAGGCACCATTTCCGTTCAGTAAGCAGGTGTGTTAGGTTTAAAACAGTGGTCAACATTCTGTTACAGTGCAGTGGCCATGATATTTGAAACTGTTTTCAGAAGCTTTATATGATTTAACATAATTAAAAACAGTAAATATTACAGAAAACTATTTCATCAGAATAAAGATACAAGTGTTTTAACAGAACTTATGTTGTTGTAAAATCTGCTACTTGGAATCATTGTTTTGTTTCTTGTAGTTCTGTTTATATTTCTGCGATTTTTTTTCATTATTGTGAGAGTTTGTTTTGAAATATTACTGATTGTTTAGTGTAATTAAATTTTCTGTTTATTTTGCTTCCTCCAGGTGGAACAAGCTGCAGTCATGTACTTACTAGCAACAGCAGCATGTGTACTGGTCATTGTCAGTTTGGTAAGTTCTCTTTTAACACAATCATATTTCTTTCTTTGTTAATAAAGTCATATTCTATGAAATAAGCTTTAGAAATGGACCATCTTATACATTTACTTACATACAAATTCAGAACTTGAGAATCTATGTTAAAAATGTAGGTTTCCTTCTTCTCTGATGGACGTCTGTCGTGGTCAACATTATTGTATTTTTTTTTAGATTTCTACTTGGATGCTGTGTGGTTCTTTTCTAAGTAAAGTGTTTTTTAAGACTACAAGTACAAAATTTCAAAGCTTAAATGAGTAACCAGTTTTGAATTTAAAGCAAATTAATTTTCACAGTAACCAGTCTGTATTTAAATATTTATTGACTGTTAGATCCTGAAAAATGTAAAAAATGGCACCTGGACGAGTAGTTATGATTCATTGTTCACAACTCTTCTACCATATAAATCTATTTTACATTTTACTCCAATGGCTGAATTATTACTGAATGAAGCACGTAACACACCTGTCTACATTTCAGTCTGTAGTAAGTTTTGTAGATGGTCGACGTCTCTGAAACAAAAGTGTGTGAATTCCTGTATATGTTTTTACCATGTGGTATTAGACTCTTGAGACTCATTGAATTACAGCAATATTAAGACATTTGTGTTTATTATCCTCTTCCGAGCTGTATCTTTTGATTAACATTCCACAAGTCTTGAAACTGTATTTTTGTGTTTATAAGGACTAATTAATTAGAAAATGTACTGTATGCAAAAATCAAAGCTTGCTATGAAGTAAAAGAACATGTTTGTCAAGTTGTTTCACTATATACCCAGTAGCATAATTTATTTTTTGAGTTTCTAGAAAGTTAACCATTTGAGGAGCTAATGACATCACCTGAAAGGTGTTTTAGCACCTAAGTTATTGCAATGATGTACATTGTTACTGATATCAAAATTAGTACTTCTCTGTCTGTCACACCAGACATTCTTTCAGCTGTGGGGACATTGTAATTTGATGGTCAATCCCACTATTTGTTGATAAAAGAGTAGGGTGTTGACTAGCTGACTTCCATCTTGTCTATCGCTGCTAAATTAGGGACGGCTAGTGCAGATAGCCCTCACGTAGCTTGGCGTGAAATTCAAAACAAACCAAACTGTTTGTCATTTTGATAAATATGTTATCTGATTTGAATGAATATCATTAGCAACCAAACAGTTCCATAAAATAGTAACTAACCAAATATTAAAATGCATTTTGTTTCATTACTTGGAATTATTTGTTTAAAGTGTAAATTATGTTACGTGACCTGTTGTTCTTCTTTTTAGGTTCATCATTACTTGTTTAAAGTGTAAATTATGTTATGTAAATAGTTACTGGTATTAACACACACCTACAGTATGAATGTTACTGTTATAGTTACTGGTATTAACACACACTACTAACAGTAACATTCATACTGTAGGTGTGTTAATA